AATAATATGCTAGAACAAGTATACAATGCAAGAATCATTACATTGAGCTGTAGGTCGTAAGTAGTATATTTATTAGTAAATATTGAAATTTTGTTAATAAATGTTTCAATATGTATATTAAATGTGTGAGTTTATTTATTATTGATAGTATATTGGGCTATGATGAAACATGAGTTTTTTTATAAGAAATATAAATGAAACTTATAGTAGTTGTTCAAACACAGTTGTTAGAAACTGATATTCGTGGTATGTAATTTATTATAAAAGGCTAAGCTAGGCACATAAATATCTGCAATTTTATCTTTAGAGTGAACAGGGTAGAATTAAGTTGTTAAGTTATATTTTCCAATTGACCCTGTCTGAACATTTGATAGTTGCTGTATGTCAGGCAGTTTAATGTTACTGACTAATAAGTGCAAAATGCTTTTATGTAAAGTACAATGAACTATAATGAAACACGTTAATTTTAAGCAATCTAGGAGGTCTGATATGAGGCTCAAGATCTTGTGTTCAGCATGATGGGACACAATCACTCTAGTTGTGGATTTGAAGTGCATGAGATGTTGTGTAGATATTCTAAAATAAAGAAGCTTTGATCATATTAGCTTGAATCATTTTGGGGAATGTCCCTTATTCTTCGGTTATGGTGATTTATTCTATTTTTGACTAATAACGTGATAGAACAAGTATATACCACTGGTATTATAATATTGGGTTGTAGGTCAATATTTCATAAACGAAGATGTTTTCGTAAATAGTATATTAGTATATCTTGAAGTTTTATTAATACGTGTTTCAGTATGCTTTTTAAGTGTATGATTTTACTTACATATATTAATGATAGTATATTGGGCTATGATGAAACATGAGTTTTATATAATAAATATAAATGGAGACTTGTATTAGTTGTTCAAACATACTTGTTAAAACTGATATTCATGGTGTGTAATTTATCAAAAAAAGACTAAGCTAGACATATATATATCAGTATTTTATCAGCTAAGATGTTTGTAATTATTGTAAATATATTAGTGTATCTTGAAGTTTTATTTACAAAAGAGTTTTATTATGTGTGATACTTAAGCCTGTGATTTTATTTACATATATTAATGATTGCGTATTGGGCTATGATGAAACATGAGTTTTATATAATAAATATAAATGGAGATTTGTATTAGTTGTTCAAACATACTTTTAGAAACTGATATTCATGGTGTGTAATTTATCATAAAAGGCTAAGCTAGGCACATAATTATCTGGAATTTTATCTTTAGAGTGAACAAAGTAGAATTAAGATATTTGTGAATTATCAATGTAAGATGAATATAAGTTATATATTCCGAGTGACCCTGTCTAAGACTTTGACTGGTTGCTGTACGTTGACACAGTTTAATCTTAGTTAGTGGTGAACATAAACTGTTTTTCAAATTCGATGATGAGGAACCCACTTTGAGACTAATAATGGCTGGAGACGGCTTGAATGGGTAAATAAGAAAAAGTTTAATATAGGTTTGTAATAACTGCAAATTTAAAAAGATACGAAGAGATAATATCAGCATCAAGATA